CTTTAAGAATCCATGAGTTTAATGTTTACTAAAGAGGTTATTTCCAGGATAATCCAAATGCTTATTATTAGCAAATGTTTTTATTAGCTAAACTGACAGCTCATAAATCAGAAAGAGGTAAATTTAGAAGTAAAAAAATAAAAGTTCTGAAAACTTTAGAAAAACAAAAATAACACCAGCAGAAAACAAAAGGCACAGACTGCAGCTTCTCCTGCCTCATGTAGAGTAATGTGACAAAGAACACCTGGAATGTGATTTCAATGTGTCTTTGCCCAAATCCAGATGGGCCTCTTAAGCTACAGTTATTTATTCTTTTCACTTTCTGATTTAAGGCTTCAGTAGGTAACATTTATTTAAAAAACATCAACAAAAAACAACAACAAAAAAAACCCTATTTGTTCAAACTGTGATAACAGTTTGAACAAATAGGGTTTTTTTTTTCCAAAATTCAGACATGTTTTGATGAGGCCAACATTTAAATGCAAAAGCTTGATCTTCTTGTATATCATATTTTATCAAGTCCAAGCTCTTCAGGTGTAGAAATGCCGAGTTCACTTAATACGGGCTTGAGCTCCTGGATCACGTACGGGTAGATGTCTTTGTGAGGCCCGGCTTTGTCCTTCACCGCCTCCAGGATGCGGATGGCGCTGGCCAGGTCATTTAGTCTGCGGCAGGCTCTCAGCACCGCCTCAAGGATCTTTGGTTCTGGTACCAGGTCGTACCCGATCAACATGTTCATCCCTTTCCTCAGCGCATGTGATAGCATGGTATCAGACAGATAATCTGTGGGGGGGAAAAACCCATAAAAATCTAGCTCCTCTCCCTTCTCCCAGTGCTAACTAGAAACAACCAATCAGAGACAGTGGGCGGGTCTTAACGCTATCAATCACCTCGATGCATCACCGCTCATTCCCCCTCACTCCCTTGCTCTGCTGTGCCGAAGCTAGTATAGCCGGTTATGAAAAATAAAGCTAATTAGCATAGCCACAAATTACAGCGGATAAAGTTTCTCTTCACAGATTATCTGTGTCACAACATGGTGATAGTTTTAACAAATATGCAAAAAAAACAAAAACAAAAAAAAACATTTTTTGTAAAATTTACATACAGTAGCTTAATATTTTAGCACAGCTGGAAGAGGGAGGAAAATGTACAAATATATGGATGGGGCAAACTGTCTGCTACTTTTGCAGGAGTGAAGATTGACAGAGTTAAGAAACATGAGGGTATGAGGGGGAATCCCTACAACCATACTGGTAAGTCTGTCAGCTTATCACCCCCAGACAAGAACCCCCTGGATAAATGTGGTCAAGCAGGACAGGAGCCCAGCTTCGGCAGAGAGGGGGTGCAGGACGGCGATAAGGATGAATCTCCACTGGGCGAAATGTGGGAGCCTAGGCAAGAGGCCCCGGGCGTAGAAACTCAGCCAACAGCTCTGGCTGCCTAAACCTCTTAAAAAATTTACACACTAGCATTGAACACACTCAGCAAATATAGGTTAGTGAATGCATGTGGTCGGCTCGTCTGGAGCGTGACTGCGTGTGCGCACGTTTGATTGCACACCTCGCTGCAGAGCATCTGAAGGCACACGAAGCGTGCACATCGGAGCAGAGACCGCCCGATTGCTCGACAGAAAGCGGCGCCGGGAACGAGGCAGACGGAGGAAGACAAAAAAAAAGAAAAACGTATTCTTGACGGGGCTGACAGCCGCTTGAAAACAGACCATGAAATTTGCTTTTTCACAGGAAGTGACAGACCGAGCACCATGAATTGATCCCCTGATGGAGATCTGGCTCTTTGTGTAGTCATTTTCTCCTCTGCGCATCTGCCTGCCCAGATACTGGATAATCTACTCGCTGCCGGCATTCCTAATCCAACCATCCATCCCCTTTTCACTCCGCCCATGTGTGTCCCGCCACAGAACAAGGGTGCAGTTTGGAGGAATATATATATATATATGTTCTTCTTTTGACTGTTGTGCAGTCACGATTATTTCTCACACTGAACCCTCTGGGAAATGATCAACCGTCTAATTATAATTCATCAGATTCAAAGGAATAATAATCAAATAATCAGCCGCAGAACCTATTTTACACTGGAAAATGTAATTTTTCTTGAATTTTAAAAAGACGGCAGAACTAGACCTATGAATATAATGAAAACATGAAGTGACAACAGTTCTGCACCTATATATAAATATGAGCTAAAAAGATTCATTCCAGACATTCAGTTTTGGTTTAATTTTTCACAAAGAGATTATAAGTCAGAAAAGCATCACAGATGAATAGAGCAGTACTCGCAGTATGGCTCCTGGCAAGCGAATGTTTAAGATCATAAGCTGATTATGGTCTTTGTCAGCCAATTCAAATAAGTAAACAAGCTGGAGCAGGGGGGAGAAAGAGGAAACTTGTGGGAAACGATTTTATATATATATAATCGTTTCCCACAAGAAATCGATTAGTAAAGATGTTTTAATGTACAAATGAGCAGCGCTTGCCGAGCAGATGACTGAACAGTAAGTTATAAATGCAAGGGCAAGCCAACTACTATCGAGTTTGTGTTGAAGGGGAAGTATCATGTGTTCTAAAAATGCTATAAATTTTAAATATGACTTAAAAATTTTTACTTGGTGATTTAATGCCTTAAAATTGGGCTTCTGTCTCTTTAAAAACTCCTTTCTGAAACTCCACTTTCACGGAGTCATCACAACATGGTGGCTCCTCTATTAACCCTTTAACAACATTTTTACCATCATTGTATTGAGAAGTAGCTCCTATAATGGGCTCAGCAAGTGTGCAGTTCCACCAGGTGTTTGTTAATTGGTGCTGGTTAGTCTGAAGGAGAAAAGTGGAGGGAAGCTGCTCAGTAATGCAGAAGCCAGAAGGCTTCAGAGGCCCAAAGCAGTCTGAAAGGCGGCACTAGATCTTACCATGCATTAAAAAACAGTTGAATGGTTGCCATTGGAGATTAAAGGATTTCTCACATGCATGAAAGAATCAAAGCAACACTCTAGGTATGTTTTTGATGAGGGGATAACATCAAAACATGACGTAAAGCTCAAAAAAGTTGGTTTTACATAATACTGTCCCTATAACTTTGAATATAGATGGATGAAAACTTACATTATCCCCTTTATAATTTAGAAGCACGTCAGATTGAAGGGGGAAAAAATCTATTAATTTCTGGTCAATTCAAATTACATATTGACAAACCGTTTTGTAATTGAATAAAATATATAGTGAAGTCTGCAGATAATGGAGCTATAGCGGAAGTTCAGGCTGGAAGACCCCGCCCCCTGGGTTCGCCCATTGACGTCATGCTCATCCCCGTCCTCAGGACCTCACCTGGCGCGTTTCAATCAGCAATCAAGCTCTGCATAAAAGGATCCACACCCAAGCCATCAGACGCTT